AAAAAAAAAAATCACATCCTGACTTACAATAATTGGTACCAAGAACTAGATTGTGTCTGTATTCAAGACAAAAAGGCCAAACAAATTTTTTACTATTGCTATGAGCTAAACATCATAGATATTTTGCAAAGTATTCTAGGATTTATCTCCTACACTATACTTTTTAATAGTTATGGGACTGTGTGAATAAGAGCCTAGGTTCATTATGGACTAAGATTAAATGGAAAGTAAATGGAAATATTTGGGGACCTGTATTAGGTAAGTTTTAGTTTCGACATATAGGCAACTATAGGGAAATAAGAAGTGGGGGCTTCTTATGTGACAAGGTTGGAGAGTTTAGGGAGGCAGGCATGGAAGTAGCCAGATAGGAGAGTTAGAAAATTATATTGAAAAAAAGATTAATTAGCATTTAGAATAATGGTCCCTTTGTTCAAAATATAGCACAAGATCAAGGAAAGGAGAGAATATGTTAGTCACACTTGAAAAATCCATATTTAATTCCTTATTCTTTTCCACGACTCTAATCTGAAGACCAAAATTTCCCTCAGAAAAACTGGTTTTTACTTAGAGAACCTCTATTCGAAGAATAAGAAAACCTGCATACAGAATGATCAGTAACTGTGCTCTTAGACAAACATGATATCAAATTTTATTCAGTCAAAGTTGCATGAGAATCATGACAATGGTATGCTATGATGCCAATAAAACTAGGATTATGGGTCTGAATTCTCAAATTCTGGAGTTTTTACTAGACAAAGACCCAAACCAGAAATGAGTTCTATATTTTCAAAGAAAATAGATGTATGAAAGACAGAAATGTTTTCAAAGTTGGATATAGTTGCTTGCATTACTAGGATTATGGGTCTGAATTCTCAAATTCTGGAGTTTTTACTAGACAAAGACCCAAACCAGAAATGAGTTCTATATTCTCAAAGAAAATAGATGTATGAAAGACAGAAATGTTTTCAAAGTTGGATATAGTTGCTTGCATGGAAGGCAAAGTAATATGTGGAAATTCAATGGACTTTGGAGCCAGGCAAACCCAGGATGAGTTTCCAGCTCTGCCTCTCATTGCCTGTAAAATCACAGGCAAGTCACAAAAACTTTCTGATTTTCTGTTTCCTTACCTATGAAAAGGAGACAATACGTACCTCTTGTGATTCTTGTGTTAAAATATGCAATGTGAGAAAAACACCAACCACTATTTATATAACGCATAGATCCTCAATTATTAATGGTTTGCTTGAAATAATAACTTTTTAACTTCAGGTACATATAAAAGAATAAATATTTCTGTATCTTTAAAAAATAAGAATTATAAACTACAGATACATATACTGTAACACCAGGGAGAGGCTCCAAGCAACTTACTGTATAGAAAAGTCATATTTAAGTGAGGTTTGGATCATTTGGGATACAATTCTGAATTACTTACTACACTTGTAATTACAAATTAAGTAACTCACTTGTTTTGCAAAATTATATTGACAATCCATTAAGACAGAGAAATTACACATACACATCTACTGGGATAGAGAAACAACCAGTACACATGATTACGTACAGGTATATAAACAAACTGTTCTAAATACCCAGAGATTCCATTTGTTTTTTAACTAAATGACTTGAAAAAAGAAATTATAAGAATTTGGTATAATTGAAGTTGATTTTTAGATCAACACAATTATCTTAAAAATGGCTACAGCAAATATAGCTGTATTCAGTGGCCTGGGTTTTCATATCACCTGTGTTTAAAGATAATTTGGGCTCGTCAGAAGAGTTTATTCACAAATATGTATCCGATAGATTTGCAATATTATTTTTAATATGATAAGTGACACACACGTTTAAGAGAACCCTAACATATTTTTTGCACTTACTACTTTCAATTATATAGGTACTGGTGTAAATAACTGTTTAAGGTTTTTCTTGCCTACTGTCCTACAACTACCATAAGAGAGGGATTTCATCTTCCTAATTCAAAATTTTATTTTTAGAACTTTGCAGAGTGCTAAGTACATCACAGTATCAAATGACCGAATGAATGAGTGAATAAGTGATCTTTGTTTTAAAAAAAATTATTTTATTGTGGTAAGAACATTAGACATGAGATCGACCCTCTTAAAATTTTGTGTACAATACAGTATTGTTAACCATAGGTATGATGTTGTACAGCAGATATCTGTATTTTATTCGTCTTGCTTAACTGAAACTTTATCCCTGTTGATTAGCAACTCTCCATTTCCCCCACTCTCAGGACCTGGAACCAGAATTTCACTCCTTGATTCTGTGATTTGATTTTAGATACCTCATATAGGTGGACTCATGTAGAATTTAACCTTCTATGAGCAGCATAGTTACTTAGCATAATGTCTTCAAAGACCATCCATGGTGTTGCATATAGCTGAATTTCCTTCCTTTCAAGGATGAATAATATTCCATTGTATGTATATACCACGTTTTCTTTATCCATTCATCCACTCATGGACGTTTAGGCTGTTTCTACATCTTGGTTATTGGTGAATAGAGCTGCAATGAACATAGGAGTGCTAATATCTCTTTGATATACTGATTTCAATTCCTTTGGGTATATACCCAGAATTGGGATTGCTGGATCATATAGTAGTTCTATTTTTAATTTTTTGAGAAACTTCCATACTGTTTTTCATAACATTTTCACCATGTTTCTTTCCCACAAACAGTGTACCCACATCTTTGACTACACTTTCCCACGTCCTTGACTACACTTTCCCACATCCTTGATGACACTTCTTTTCATTTTTATAGAAATAGCCATCCTGGTAATTGTGAGGTGATGTCTCATTCTGGTTTTGATTTCCATTGCAGTGATGATTAGTAACACTGATCATTTTTTAATATATCTGTTGGCCATTTGTAGGTCTTACTTGAAGAAATGTTTAATTTCTTAGCCTGATTTAAAGATAATTCTTTCTCTAAGATGCATGTATGACTACTTATGTATAATTAATATAATTTTTTCACTTGATGAGCAAACAAAGTATAGAGATTGCGTTTGTCTTTGATATCTTTGACATTAGTGAATAAAATATTTGGATAATTTTGTTTCTTTTGGAGTTTACCTATATAGCTGAAAAAATACTCTCAGGATAAGTGAAAAGTTTTCGAGGCAGATCTTTCTATGTGCCTTAATATATTGATTTTCATTAGTCTATATTTAATTATAAACTCAAATAGACTTTTTTAAAACATAAGAAGTTCTACTTTTGGTCAATATTTTATGGATGCTGTTCAGTTTTGTACTGAAATCGGAGCTCTTCTCTGAGCCTCCTAGGGCCAGAGTATAAGAAAATAAGTTATTTGTTGTCCATTTGCACCTTAATTATAGTTATCCTTAGATATCCCAGTAATGACAATAAAATTATTTATAATTAAATACAATTAAAGAAAATTGAAAGAGATTATATAACAACTAGGACTAGGTATTAAATAGAAACCTTATTTTATAAACTATTTAGTGCCTTCAAAATAATTTTTTATTTAAATATATTTCTTTAAATATGTAAGCCTTTAGTGTTTATTTATGTATTTTATATTTTCCCTTTCATTCAAGCTTTTCTCTCTGTCTTTCTTTTTTTTTTTTTTTGCAAATTCATTATTGCAAATCGTAATTATTCTTCATGCCCCTTACACAACTAATCCCTCCCCAATCCTCCTTCCCCCCCCCATCTCTAGTATCCTTAGGTTTGTTCTCTCCTCCTGAAAATTCAACATATT